AGCGCGATTGTAAGGCGCCTTGGAGCTCCGACACGGCTATCGAGCCCCTCGTAAAATTTCGGCCCGTCTGTTCGACTGTAGGGCGCTGCACGTCGAATTGAAATTTTGGGGTGTATTAGATGGGACAAAGGGTGTAAGAATACACTTTGACACCCTTTTTTCTTGAGAGTGTTCGTTGAAAGATGCGAACTATTACTGACGACTTCTCCTAATATTGTAAAAAAAAAGAACATGGCGCACGAAAAGGGTGACAGGGATGTAAGCAACCTGAAGCTTTTAAAAGATTGGGTGTAAAGCAGCACAACATGAAATAAGCATCCGTATCTCCCAAAGATGATAAGTGAACACTTGTCAATTTTGGTAGATACTTCGACACAAACTTCAACGCAAATATTGACTGAAAAGGATGTGACATTAACTGGCGTGCTGCTCAAAATATATTAATTAATATCTTTTGAGCAGCATGCCAGTTAATGTCACATCCATTTGGTCAATTTTTGTGTTGAAGTTTATTCCTCAAAAGGCAGAGCGTTTCCTTCTATTGTGACATTATTCAAACTGTCGTAGTCACTATAACCGCGGAGGGCATTGTAAATGGACCTCTTTGCAGTAAGCTTCTGCGCATGTGCACACCCTCTTCCCCGGCCTTGCTTCTCGGTGTCTCCATTTTTGCAGGTCACCATCCCGCACGACCAACATTGTCAGCGCCTATCTTTCCGCGTATTTCGCTTTTTTTTTTTTTTACTTTTTTTTTTTTTTGGGGGGGGGGGGGGGTATCGGTATTATGGGGTATAAAAAGCATTGAAAACCGTTACAACGGCACGATGTCAATGTGTTTTGACGAGGGGAGTCTCGTTGGGCTGCCCTTCATTTGTATTTCGCGGTCAAACCGCCATATGTCTCTCGGTACTGGAAAAAGGTCTATTTTCTCGATTTTTTATGAGGACAATCGTTTTGTGTCTTCTCCGCGTCTTCGTAAGCAAAGAAGGAGGGAAGGGACAAAAAGAAAAGGCTCGCAGAGAACCGACCGCTACACCTACTCACGTGCGCTTCGATAGACTTTTTTTTTTCTTTCGTTGGAAGGAAACACGGAAGATGGCCTGATATTGTTTGCTCCGAGAGTGCGGTTCTTTCCGTAAGTGTGTTTCTCCCTTCGCAGCGGGAGAGCATGCTGACAAGTTACAATTTGCCGACAACCAAGCAACAAAAAAAAAAACAAAAAAAAACATCATTTGAGGTTTTAGGTGACGTGAAGAAAGGTTTTCAACATCTTATGAACGCAGTTCACAATGCGATTCCGGTCAAACTTGCCCTTACCAAAAAACCAAAAAACGAGAAAACAAACTTTTTTTAGAAACAACTGTGTGTGCGTGTGCGTGTTCGTGTGCATGCGCGCGTGTGTGTGTGTGCGCGCGTGCGTGCGTGTGTGCGTGTGTGTGTGTGTGTGTGCGTGCGTGTGTGTGTGTGCGTGTGTGTGTGAAAATTAATTTACAATTACTTCGCCTAATGTGTAATTATTCCCTTACAAAATTACTGATAAATGTAAGGGATTGCAGTAATTTCGTTACTTGTAGCGCATTACGTAAAAGTCTGCCAGCAACGTCCAAGTCCTTCGAGGGCCCGAAAGGCGGCAACAACAACAACAACATGGTCATTGACCTGGGATCGACTAAGCGGCTATACAAGGGGTTGACTGGTTGGCTGAGACAGGCACGGGTGAGCAGGGATCTTCCAGATCTTGAAAAAGACTGCCTTAAAGGGCTACTCCACCGATTTTTTCATTGTCTCCGATTTGCTTGAAATTTTGCTAAACTAACCAACAAACATCGCGAAAATAGTATCCCAAATATTAGGTCAAAATATTGTTTTTTCGCGAAGTTATTGAATTTACAGTTTTGGTCCTCACCGTGTTTTTCAAGCTCGAAGTCTCTACTGGCAACAATGAAAAAGTGACGTCAGTGGAAGGCAGGGGTTCACTCTTTGGGCTGTAGATTTTGTTTTAAACTGATTCGAAGCAGTTTCATAGTGTCAAATGAATGCTTGGGAAGCTCGCTGCAGTACCCGCGCTCCAGCACGGAACAAATGATTGGCATATTCTATTTTTTGGCTGCTTGCTCGACTGGCAAGCCTGCCTGCTACTGACGTCACGGCCCTGAAAAGCGCGCGTATATTTGAATGTTGGTTTTTGCATCATTTTCATTTGCCGATTTCGCAATAACTATTATGAATTTCGCGATTCTAAATAGCATACCGGAGAGAGTAAAGGCCGGGGAGTCAGAAAATATAGTTAGTTGAGGTAGCTCAAAAAATCGGTGGATTACCCCTTTAAGAGGAACGGCCCTATAAGTGAGCGTGAGCTCACTTCCTGTATACGATGCTCTCTGCAGCGCTTGCGCTCTCGACCAAGCAAGCACTTGAACGACCCTTTGCGTGTAGGTACCATGAATGTACGAGGTTTCGGCGAAAGTCGGAGAAAGTATCAACTTAGCCGCCTGTTCATCGAGAAAGAGTTGAATATAGTTGCAGTGCCCGAGACTTAAGTCGAGAGCGATGACCGCACCGAGAACATTTACGACCCTTTACTCCACGATATAATGTGCGTGTTAGCCATGCTTTGGGCACTTTCGTGGGATCTTGTTTATTAATAAAGAAAGTTATTAGTAGAATCGAACAGTCTGCTATTAGGTGTCTAACAGGTAGGTTAGTAATTTGTGACTTCATCTATGTTTCGTCTGAATGGCTCTTGATATGTGCGTACGCCCCAATAAGGTAAAAGAACGGAGGGCCTTTTTTCCAAATGTTCCTCCTTATTGTGTTTCTGCAAGTCATTGTTAAGCTTATTGGTATGTATGCTGTAACACTACGGAGCTTTGCAGTATAATTCGTTTTAGGTAGTAACACTGTGTGTGACAATAAAGAGGGCGGTGACAGCCTTTTTATTTCATGAGCTTCTACACTGTATAAAAAAGATGCAACTTCATTCTTGAAAGACTTGTAGGGCGCTGCGATGAGGCCATCAGGTTCAGGCGTTTTTCCAGGATTGAGACGAGTGCATTTGTCACGCGAGAACTGTTCAGTGCAACCACTTTCAGGGGACGAGCCATGCCCGGCTAGAGAGAGCCTACGTCTCATTATATCTGATACCCATCTGTTGCGCATATCGGTTATCGACAGTTTCATTTAGTAATCATTGTTTGGTTACCTTTCGGTAGTGTGGTATAAATGAACGAGTGAAGTTTCATGGGGATTGTGAAAAGTGAATAGTGAACTCCTTGAAGTTCAGTGTTTTTTTAAAGCGGTAAGAAGCGTTTTACAAGATTTAAATAAAGTTTCAAGTAATTTTGGGGAGAAATGGGAAGTGTCTAAATATGAATTTGAAGCAACAGCTTTAGAAAAAGCCATTTCACTGAAGATTCTTCAAAGGCAGGAAGAAACAATCCTGCGCAGTGTTTTTTTTTTTTTTTTTTGAAACACTGATAAAGGAAGAGAGTAATGCTCTGGGGGAATTAAAAATTGACATTCCTGAAATAAATAAGAAAAAACGTTCGAAGCCCTCGACCAGCATTGTTTGTGGGCCTCCAAAGCATATTGAGGAACCAATGGCAGTTCGTCACGCACACGCTGACGCCAGAGCAGTTGCTGAATATTTTGGCGACTCTTTACGACATCTTGTTGAAATTTGAAAACTGTATACGCTCTAGTCTGCCGGAGTGGATATATCCGCGGTTGAAACACTGATAGACCCAAAAAAATTTAAAGGCGAGGCGCCGATTACAGTGTGATTGGCGTTATTTTAACGTTCTTGTGAATTTTGTTCTTCCGTGTCAAAAACCGGCAATAAAAAAATAAAAAAATATTGGTGCTTGAGTGGGTTGGCGCGTCTCAGCTCGGAACGTGGAGCGAAAACTTGCGCTCCAGAACCTCCTGGGTCCACCGCCGGACCGTATCGATCTGGATGAGTTTCTAACCTACACGCGTTCGTGTAATCACTACTGCGTGATTCACGTTAAAAAAAAAAAAAAAAAAAAAACAGGTTAGCGGTTGTACTGCACTGGCTAAATTTCTCATCTACAGCTAAGCGACCGGTCACCCGTTGAGGCGTACCAACTTCAAGGCTGTCTAAACATACAAGCAACAGAATTACCATAACACTGACCACGAACGCGAATCCAAATATTCGTCGATGGGTTGATTGCTGACAAGTGAATACGTCCGAGTGACGCAGTGTTCGTGTCCAATGCGTGAGCTGGGCTTTCCTGTCGTTCTTGGGAACCACGAATGCATCGCAGTGAAAAACCGCGAGCTTTCAAAAGAAATAGTCCACTATATTTTCACATCTTCCTACAGAAAAGCTGACTTTTGGCTTTCTACCCTCGTGTAGGGGGATCGGTGGCCGAGTGGTCTAGCGCACACCAGCTCGGAGCACGTGGAGCGAAAGCTCGCGCTGCCGAACCCAGGGATCCTGGGTTCAATCCCCACCCCTGCCCGTTTCAATCTGGATGAGCATCGTACCGGCGTGCGGTCGTGTATCACTACTGCGTGATGCACGTTAAAGATCCCAGGCTAGCGGCTGTACCGCACTGGCTAAATTTCTCATCTACAGCTGGGAGACTCGTCGCCCCTGTGAGGCAGACCAAGTTCTAGGCTGTATAAACACACACACAGCCCAATTTTTTTACCCTCGTGTACTATACTTCGTTTCAGCTTCGGTCCAGACGCAGCCGATGCTACAAGCGCGAGCATGTGGCCCAGAACAGTGCTTGCACTGCGCGCGCGCGCGTGCTTGGCAGGGATGCTGAAAGCCCGGAGCTCGTGCTTGTAGCTTTGGCTGCGTCTGGACCGAAGCTGAAACGAAGTATAGTTTTCTTTTTTCTTTCACTAAACGATATGCGAGTAGTAAAGTCACAGTATAAAATTATTTATCCCAGCCTAAAATTAATTTCATGGTACCTTTATTTTTACAATAGACCGCAGCAAACGCTACAAGTCAACCTAGCCAATTCAGTGCTTGGAATATATCACGTGACTTCGCACCCCGCGCGTTGCTGCGCTCCTCCCGAGGCTCACGTGACCCTCAGGGGGCGCTGGATTGAGTTCGGTGGTTCGTAACGTTCCTTGCGATCCATCCTAAGGCGAAACCGAGCAGAGGCATCGCTGCCACTCGTATCACCGTCGTGTGCATCACACAGCTGGCGTGGCGGCGTTCAGTTTGTACGAGAGACACGTGCCCCACACCAAGGCCACAGAGCTGGAGAACACAACACGGTACTTGAGCGGCACGAAACGAAAGTTGATGGCCATGGCCGCCGGCCATATCACGTAGCTCGTCGCCAAGACGTTCGCGTACCTGGTCTTCACGTCCTCTTTGATCTGGGACCACTGATGTCCCTCGAAGACACCCTTGAGTCCCATGAAGCCTAATAAGTAAACTGGACTGCAAAGCAGCTGGTCCAGGATAACTTTCTTGATGGCGGCTGACGTCCCGCTGCCAAGGACAAGCCATCGGTCCAGGGCGGCGTACCAGGCCACCAGAAACGGACCGTAGTAGCAGAGCCCGAGGAAGAAGAAGCCCGCCGCTCTGTGGGCGTCGATGCCTTTCCTCCGCTCAATGAATTTTTGTGCGATCAGATCGCCTGTGAGCATGATGGTACCCGCTGTCACAATTTGCGTTTTTATCGGATGACTCTGTAGAAGCCTGGTATAGAAGGAGATGACAGGTCTCATCCTGGTACGTGATGTGACGTAGAACTGCCGTGTGTGAGCGTGCGGTTCTTCTTTCAAAGGGCAGAGACAGAGCGAGTCGTTTAACCCTCTGCCATCAGATTCACAGCTGCGTCCGGTGAAACTTAATCACGGATGGATCACTGGGGAAACGGTGAGAAAACCTCATGGATACGAAACCTGTGCAAGAACGCTATAAAGCACATTGCGCTGACGCTTATTATCGCGTTCGCGTTAGTCCGCCCCAGTGGGCGTCTGCTGTATCAGCAGTAGATGAGATATTTTGAAAATGTAGTGGAACTGTTAATCTGGGGTCTTTAACGTGCATCAACACGCGACCTCTCGCCGGTACGGTGCTCATCCAGATAAAAACGGGCAAGGCAGGGTGTTGAACCCAGAATCCCAGGATTCTGCAGCGCGAACCCTCGCTTCATCTGCTCCGAGCTGCGGTTTGTTTTGTTCACACACTCGACTGTAGATTCCCCACTCGGATAATCAGTAACAAGGGTCTGCGAACACGAACAGCAATGGCAAACAAAGAAAAAGAAAACGAGATTATGACATGTCGATGCAGTCATGTGCAGTGTACGGGCATAGAGCAGCGGAAATATATAACGCTGAAACAATAAGAAAAAAGGCATAACATGCAGACTGGACATCGACCTTCGTACCTTTCTTTGAATGATAGGTTCGAGGTCAAATACGCCAATTAATACGAGATGAGATCAAACCGTCGCGAATCTAGCGGTGATGTCGAGAACTAAGCTCATGGGGACCACAACTACATGAATGCATGATGTAATTGAGCAACTTAAAAACGCAGACAAAGCAAAAACAGAAGCACGAGAGAGCACTCTAGTCCTGTCGTGTTTCCGTTCTTTTTTCGTCGCCGCTCCTTGAGTTGCTTAGGCACATCATGTACAACGTTTACCAACTGGGCTAATTTGTTACCTTAGAACAACCTGAGTTATTTGTCTGTGTTTCTGAAGCCGCGCTCAAATCACGAGTGGCCAAGCGCTGTGTGAGCATTGGGCATGCAGTGAACCGAGCCAGACTCTGATGCAGCACTCGTGCCACGTCTCAGCACCGCTCGCGAGGCCGTAAATGATTCAATCCTCGGGCCTTATGTTGAAGACTGAGCTCTACGAAAAACGAGTTGGACGGAACGCCGCGTACACAGTTCGATCTTCTCGAATGTAGACGTCCAATGTTTACTGTCGGAGGTTCCTGGTTGTACACTCTATAGCATTAAACGCAATAACACCGATCATCGGTCTCTATCTAGTCGGCTAAGTCTACGACAACGACGATCGGTATCATGGTACAAGAGACGCCGCAGCAAAATCGTTGGGCGACTATTGGCTTACTAGACTGCGTCATCATTTAAGCATATTACCCATCGCTGCAATGATTCGGGGAAGGCCAAAAAATGGTGTTCCGAGGGCATCGTGCTGCACCATATATACCCTTGCATCGCTAATCACCCGATCAAAAAATGCTGAGTCACTGAGCTGTCGACGCATGCGCAGCGCCCGATATACCGCACAGCAGATGAACAGCGCATGCTGAGAAGGCGTTCCACAGCCCTGCAGACAAAGATGGCAGCGTGCCGAAGGCGATTTTTGCAAAGGTCTCTACACCAACACAGCGTTTACAAACAAGCCCGCTTTGCCCGCGCCAGGCGGCGGCACTGCGCGTGCGAGGAAACCAAATTCGGGAGAAGTGAAGCATTTGCGCATGCGCAGTACCGACAGCAGCGCCACCGCAATGGCGTGACGTTAGTGAGTTTAGTTTGTCTATACTCACTGACGGGATGAGAAGCGCAGAGCGTGGCGAGTTTTAACGCGGGAGCGTCAAGGAGCTCGTGTCGCTGAAAAGCCGGCGTCGGTGGCACGCGGTAAAATCCAGGATTGGTCGATAGGGTCATGACGTAACACCCACATGTCCTCGCGCGGGAATTTTAAACAACCCACGACGCTCACGAGAAACGTGACGTCACGCGTGGAATGAAAGTGATTAAAAAACATGACATGTAATGGGAATTAAAGTTCACCTCATGTCTCATATGATTTCACTTTATAAAGTAATTAATTTGTCTTAAAGAAAAATTTGAAGAATTTTAGGCGAGATTTGAACCACCGACCCTTCGGTTGCGAGCCACACACGCAAAGCTTTTTTATTTTTTGTTTTGTTTTGCGTGCATCGGCATGAACAAACCTCACATGTCACTCACACAAAAATGACGAAACACGTCGGCCTCACTTTGGCAGACCCGAGTGCATTAAAATATCTTCAGTTGCACTAATTCATTCCAAATCGGCATCCAATCGGGGGGTTCTGATTGTGCTTGGTACTCATCGCGAATATATGCGACACTTTCAATGAAATTGTCTCTGACTTCGCGGACGTTCACGTCCGCATGACGCACAGCCATCCTTGTCTTCCAAATGCTGTGTAGAGTGAGGACCATGAACATGTCGTAGGGGACTCCAGCGTCATTCTCAACTGACAAAAAAAAACACGAATGCCGTGCATGTTCAAAGGAAACTCTTTTTTTTTTTTTTTATGAGTGCGCAAAAGGATATTCCAGTGTAACACCGCATCCAGACACTCTATAAATACATCCTCCACAGTCTCTGGTTTCTTACAGAGAATACTGTTGATGGACCATGGGATAGACAACCCTTTCTCTTCCATTCATGATTTATCAAGCATAACACCCCAATGCAGTTTAAATATAAAAGACTTAACACCTGGTTTTACCGTAATTTGTTTTAACGCTTTTCAGCACGTCCTCGCCAGGTTCATTAGAGTACAGTAACCTACAGAAAGAGACCGGTAGCGACACTTTCCATAAATCTTTATACAATTCCTTCTGAGTCACAGAACTAGGGATGCCGCGAACTTTTTTCGAATCGAAGTTTCGATGATCGCATCAAGCGGTTCGAAAGGTTCGAAAGATTTCGATTTTTCGAATTGTCTATATCGTAAAATTCGACGGAGGTCAAATTTTCGAACTTGTTAAGCTAAGAAGTTCGACACTTTTCGAACCGTCGAACTTATTACGCTAAAAAATTCGATCTTTTTCGAACTTTCGAACTTATTGCGCTGCAAGGTTCGATGCTTGTCGAACTTTCGAACTTGACTGACAAAAAAATTCGATAAATTTCGAACTTTCGAACTTATTTATCAAGAAAATTTGAAAAGTTTCGAACTTTCGAATTCTGAAAAGTCAGAAGTTCGACGAACTTCGAACTTATAGGGTAAAAGTTCGACGTTCGTCGAACTCGAAAGACCGGCGGACGGTTTCATTTGATTTCAAGTAGTGGGATACATTCGTAATTTTTTTTCTGGAACTTTTACACGCGGTGCTGCGTTCCTTACGAAAGACAATGTCATTTATTTCAATGTTCTGGCATGCTTAGGTTTAAAGAAATAAATCCCCGAAGGGGCGAGGACGGACGACGGGTTTTTGACGATTATCGTTTGTGCCAGATTTGAAGCACGCTGCAGCCGGAGCTATTTATGGTAGATATGTTATACTTTTTTTTTAAGAATGATCTATGTATAGCGTAGGTAAGTGCCGTCTTAAGATGTGATTATTGTTATTCAACGTGAGTTTCGAAGAAATGTCCAAACATGTATCTGCATGCAATTATGACCTAAACTTGATATTTATTTTCGTCTAAGTTGTTTGAGGTATCGCATTTAAATTAACACCACAGACAGTACATATCATTGCCATCTGCAGAATACAAAATAATATATTTATTGTTTTTTCACGTTAAGGAATTAACTCATGGCAGAAGATTTCTAGTAGTGTTCAAGTTCAGCACGTCATTAAAAGAAAACTTTTTTTTTTTTTCGCTTCACGTTCCTGGGACGTGTTTCTTTTAGCCTGTACACATTTTGGTAAAAGAAACTTGTTTCGAAGTTCTGAACCTCTGAATATGCAAGAATAGAACACTTCCGACAAATTCTTGATAGTTTTTTTTTCTCCTGCTTTTTATTCCCGCATTTATTCTTTTTTTTTTTCTTTTTTTTTTTACTATCGGCACAGGTGTTTAGGTCGAAAAGACAGCATTGAACTTCCGAACCACTAAGCATGTGACGAGCAGTGCCTTCTGACAACGAGTTTCTAACAATGACCATCTACGCAACCTTTTATGCAGTGAAGAGCGACAGTAGCTATACATATGCATAAATAATTTCAGATTAAAATAAGCTCGACCACGCCCTCTTTCCCCGTATTGTTTTCTTTAACAGTCCGAAATACCTGCAAGGGCGAGAGGAGGCTGAAGCCCCCCCCCCCCCCCCGCGCTACCCTCTTTCCCCCCGTTTTTCCTCTTCCGACGCCACTTGTATGGTAGAACGCTCCTCGACCTCGAGTTGTGTCGGCTTTTGTGCTTTTTGCGAGGCGATTCCTCCGTCCCAGAAAATAAACCTCCAGTACAATTATAAACCACCTGATCGGATTACTACCAGCGTGCAACCCTATTGAAAATTCCATCAAGCTACGTAATTTGGGACACTGACTGCCAGTCAGTAGCCTTGGTGGAACGTGATGGACCATCAGACGTCATCTGATGGTCCATCAGATGACGTCTGACTGCCACTGCCAAGGGAATTTCATCATCAAGGGCAGCATTTATATAAGAGTAAAGCTATACGCCCTCATAAATATCGCCAAATGCCTCTATAAAACAAAATGTTCGAGAAAAAGAAAAAAAAAAAAATAGCAGGACCACCGCGGATCGAACCCGCGACCGCTTGCGTACAAATCGGACACCTTAACCGCTATGCTACGCCACAGTTACAGAAACTCGATTTGACTATTCGTTTTATACGAGATGCTTCTGCTGCAAATGCAGTTAAGCCGTCACCATGTTATGAAAGCACTCGTACATCACTCGCCGTACTTCAGTTCTACTCACCTGCCATGTAGAGTACTTTCGCGTCGTAGAATGATCCTTTTGTTCGCGCGTCATCGGCCCAGTACACCTGGTACACCTTGTCGTCTTCAACTACACCGCTAAAGTCCCTTACATCGTCGGAACTCACAACAGGCTGGGTCTT